ATCCAAGACCAACTGATGTACAGCAGCCAGCGAAACAACCCCCTCACTCCCCTGTACCAGGTTTTGCTTGCCCTGTGGGACACTTTGTCTGTGTCGAAGAGTGCGGCAGGGAGAGCAGTGCGCCGGGTGACTGACCTTATCTGCACACAGGTTCGACTGCCTGACAGGAATGAATCCAGCTGGATTAAATCTGCTTTCCATAAAATTGCAGGTAAAATAATACGCACAGAAGTATGCTTGTTGTTTTATTGACCTTCACCCAGTCGTAAAAATACGAATCCTGAACCCGATTTCATAATAAACAATATATGTAAACTAGTGCTAATTGTAACGGGGACCGTTACAGATGTTCCCCAAACGCTCCCCAACTCCCTTTTGGTGCCATATTCCCTGTAAGCTTCATTAAATAAGACAAACTCTATGCATCTGAGATTTTAACAACATTTACAAAGAAGTGTACAAAAATCATTTAAACTTTAGCATTTCACGCGTGCACATGTGAATGCATTTGTGTCATGACCTTATCATCTTGTCTGCACAATCTATATTTTAATACACTGAATATTAAAGTATTTAATCCAAAATTATTAACAGAATACGCTCATTCAAGTGTATGTTTGATTTTACTCATTTCACGTGCACACACGTGCATACATGAGCATGGTGACCATACCTTCTTGTAGAAGTCCATTACATCTATCTATGTTCTAAATTCCACCCCGTTTGGGTGAAAACGAAGAGACTTATAGCTGTTTAAAGTTTCAGCCAATCAGATTGCAGCACATGTACACACACGTGTATGCATGTGCATGGCGACCATACCTACTTGTAGAAGTCCATTATATCTATGTTCCAAATCCCATCCTGTTTGGTTGAAAACCAAGGGAGATATAGCTGTTTAAAGTTTCAGCCAATCAGATTGCAGCGCACGTGCATGCACGTGTTTTCATGATAATTGCTTTATTTCATGTTGTAGGATATCCTAATACATGGCTATGTTCAAAATTTCAAAGGATTTCGTCAAAAAACAAGAAAGATATTGAGACTTTAGTTGCAGCCAATCAGAGCGAAGTGCACGTGCATGCGCGTGAGATCTTGCTATTTTCACCATGTCGTCATGTCTATACTACTAATATATCCTCACATTATGAGTTTCAAAGCATTTCATCAAGAAATAGAACAGTTGTGGCTATATCTATTATATTGGTCATTTCACGTGTTGCACGTGCACGCTCTTGCAAGCACGTGCGCGCAAAATGACCTTGATTCCGCAAATCTACATAACATGTCTACTAACCCTAAAAAGGTTTTACCTACATCGGACGAATAGTTTACAAGATCATTCCCGGACAAAAAAGTTCCAGGAAGAAGAAGAAAAATAATAATAATAATAACTAGTGCTAATTGTAACGGGGACCGTTACAGATGTTCCCCAAACGCTCCCCAACTCCCTTTTGGTGCCATATTCCCTGTAAGCTTCATTAAATAAGACAAACTCGATGCATTTAAGACTTTAATAACGTTTACACAGAAGTGTACAAAGTTCATTCAAATTTTGCGTGCGCATGTGAATGCATGTGCGTAATGACCATATCATCTTGTCTACACAATCTATATATTTTTAAATACTAAATATTAAAGCATTTAATCCAAAAGTATTAAAAAGATACGCTCGTTCAAGTGTTTTTTGATTTTGCTCATTTCACGTGCACGCACGTGCATACATGAGCATGGTGACCATATCTTCTTGTAGATGTCCGTTACATCTATCTATGTTCTAAATCCCGACCCGTTTGGTTGAAACCCGAGGGAGTTATAGATGTTTAAAGTTTCAGCCAATCAGATTGCAGCGCACGTACATGCACGTGTATGTATGTGCATAGTGACCATATTTTCTTGTAGTAGTCCAGTATATCTATCTATGTTCCAAATTCCATCCTGTTTGGTTGGAATTCAAGGGAGTTATAGTTATTTAAAGTTTAAGCCAATCAGATTGCAGCGCACGTGCATGCACGTGCTTCATCCCTTATGCATGGCTATTTTCAAAATTTCAAAGGATTTCGTCAAAAAAATAAGAAAGATATTGAGACTTTAGTTTCAGCCAATCAGAGCAAAGCGCACGTGCATGCGCGTGAGATCTTGCTATTTTGACCATGTCATATTGTCTATGCTTCTAATATATCCTTATATTATAAGTTTCAAAGCATTTCATCAAAAAATTAAAAAGTTACGCCTATATCAATTAAATCGGTCATTTCATATGTTGCACGTGCACGCTCTTGCAAGCACGTGCGTGCAAAATGACCTTCGTTCCGCAAATCTACATAACATGTCTACTGACCCTAAAAACATTTCACCTTAGCCGGATGTATAGTTTACGAGATCATTCCCGGACAAAAAAGTACCCAGGAAGAAGAAGAAGAAGAAGAAGAAAAATAATAATAATAAGAAACAGAGTAAAAACAATATGTTCCCCAACTTCGTTTGGGGAACATAATAATAAGAAACAGAGTAAAAACAATATGTTCCCCAACTTCGTTTGGGGAACATAATAACATGCAATACTTATAAAACAGTTAAAAACACATTGCCATACATATATTTAAAACTTTTCATAGGCCCCTATAGAATTCATTCAATTAATCCGATTATTAAATAGAATATATACATCCATATCATATGAAATATACAAACAAAATAACTTCTTTCAATATTGAAAAATAGGTTGTTGGATCAAGCACATGTTGTCCATCATCATCCTATGATCCTTGCTTTTGAGGCAATTCATCTTTTCATCGAAATAAATAATTCTATAATGTTTTTAAAAATTAGCATCATTTATCTATTACAATTAGCCCCCTTCACTTTCCAAATAAAAAATGGAAGACATGTTGATATTGGAAGTGTCCATGATGCTCGAATAGTTAGGGAATCGAGCTTGTGCCGAATAATGGAAGAAGGTATGTGTCTGAATACATTGAGCTTTTTTA